TAATATCAACGATCCATTTCGCTTGGGCAATTCCTGCATTAGCAACTACGACCTGTATTATTAGTTAGAAAAAAAGATGAAAGAACGAGAAAAAGAAGTGCATACGTCTAAACTGCCCAGTTCTTTTGCAGCATTCTGCATCATTGTTTCGACGTCTTTATCAACAGAAACATCAGCAGTTATAGCAACAGATTTTCGACCCATTTTTTCAATTTCTTGTTGAACCATGTTGAGACCTGAAGAACTTGCTTTGATGTCATTCAGAGCAACATTGAGACCATCTCTAGCAAGACGAAGAGCAATTGCACGTCCAATACCTCGAGCAGCACCAGTGACAATAGCGTTGCGAGACATCATGAACAGTAAAAACTGGAAAAGAGAGAAAAATGAGAAGAAAGATCTTCGTCATTCTCTTGCAGGATAACAATGTGAAACTATCCATATACATAGTCACACGTTTTTCCATAGACGAAAACAACATTTTTATAGTTAGTAGCCTATAGTCTAGAATGAGTTTGCCATAACTTGAAAGCAAGTTTGTTTCAATTACATGGAAATGTCAATCTGAGAAGTAGATTTTTTGGAGTCTTGCTCTATGTGGATTACGTTCTCTGATATGAATTTCAGAAAGAGAAGCGAAACAGTAGGAACCAAAATCTGTTCGAATGTGCAGTTCAACTAACATTCTCGTTCTCAAAAAAAATTCTATCACGTTACTATGAGTAAATTAAATGATCCAAGCCGATATTTCTGGCTCTTTTATAATAAGTAAACGTATACTGAAGATTCGATGATGAAAAAATACGCATTTTTCTTGTCTTATAACTTGTTATCTTTGTTTGTATTCTTATCATCTAATGGTTTGAGGTAGATTTTTTCTAATCAAGAAAGCTTTATTTTTTGTTACAACATAAAAGACTGTTTTGTCGCTTTAATAGTCTGTCTGTAGTAGTTCAACCATATTCAGATTTCTCATAAATTTCGTTACTTCCGAGATTTTCTAATTACTCATATATATGCGAGATTCCATACCTTCTAAAAGTGGCTGCTTTATGGTGCTTTGCAACTATTGAACTTATGTAAATTACAGAAATTTTGATAATTTCTTTCTTAGTTTTGAATAAAAATGCATATTTTTTCTTCTGTTTTACTTCAAAAGGTTAATAAACGATTTAGTATGATTTTTGACCTAGACCTGACTAGTTTTCAGTATAAATTTTGAGTAAACAGAATTGGATTCTTACGTACCTTTATTCTTTTTGAACTTTACTGTTATGCTGCAATATGATGTAGAAAAACAAATAAATAAATAAATAACCAAACTAGTCATCCTTTCCTGACTGCGTTGTACGTGAACTACAACAGAACGTATTACGATTGCTTGAAACATCTTTTTTGAGCTTGTGTGAACGAACTGGAACAAAATAAGTCATATCTCAAGATGTTTTTTCTTTTTTAAAATGTAGATGGAAGGCAAAATAAGGCATAAATACTGATTTGCATCATTTTTCGTTGATATTGTGAAAGTGATGGAAGCAATGGTGTTGAACTGGTTGCTTTTTCCTACTGTGACAATATTCGATCCGATTTCCTGCCTATTTCTAGTATTCATTATCAACGATCTTTTAATCATTAGTTGACGTGTTTGAATGGCATTCAAAATCTGACCTCTCAAAAAAGCTTTCGATGAGATTCTCATCGCGGCATACAGAGTATGTGGGATATAGGCATACGTATATAGTAGAACATCGAACTATGTATAGAAGTATTGTGTATATGTATGAGCGGCTATGAGTATCGAGATCATATGTGGTAGTTCAGCTATTGAGGTATGTGAGTAGGTGAAGCAATACTACTGACTTAAACTTTTTTATTGGGTATTTCAACCATTTTATTCGATTATTTTCAGCAAATTCACAATCACACAATAATAAAATGACCGACAGTATGTAAAATAATTATTTGGACACCCTGTAATACTTGTCTTGTGAAGCAAATTTCAAAAAGAAGAAAAAAATATTTTCTCGACTTTCATTATACCATTCGATATATCAAAATCTCTACTTTATTCTACGAAAAAAAATCTCTCGAAAAGGTTTTCATAAAGTTTTGGAAGGTTTTCTATAAACTGCTTGATTTCCTATGGAAAAAAAAATTATTTGGACACCTATAATTTTCTTTTTATAGTGACTTTATTCTCCATGAAAATATTTTCAGCTATATATCATTCGATAGAGAAAAACCAAACTGAATCAAATCATGTCTTTGATTTCTAAAAATCATTAAATAAAAGACATATTAATTGCTAATTAAAGTTAGTATTTCATATAGATCTTGCGTTAATCTTGGTTTTTAGGCAACAAAATCAAACTCAAAATTTTTTTGAACGATACAAACTTGTAGAGAATTAAATTCTTTACAAAATGATGTGCTTAGTTGCACAATAACTATTTTTCTTGAATATGATAAGATCCTATCTTTTCAAGTACAATTTACAGTAGAGAAAGGAGCAAAAAAAACGTTTTTTTTCGTTCTGTCACTTTATATATATGGCGTATAGATATATATATCTTTCTTTCCTTCATTCACCGGGTCAAGGTATGCCAAGCGACAAAACGAAAACAAAACATGTTTTTTTGCTCCTTTCTCTACTGTAAATTGTACTTGAAAAGATAGGATCTTATCATATTCAAGAAAAATAGTTATTGTGCAACTAAGCACATCATTTTGTAAAGAATTTAATTCTCTACAAGTTTGTATNTGGGTGTGGGTGTGGGTGTGGGTGTGGGTGTGGGTGTGGGTGTGGGTGTGGGTGTGGGCGTGTGGGTGTGGGCGGGTTGGTGTGGATATAGAGAACATAAATACCCTCCATCTCCACACCCACATCCTAGTCAATCTTCACCATCAGTTTCTTCAGTTCACAAAGGTTTGTTTATGACTGTTTTATTTTTCTTTTTCAAATACATTTGGATTTGTCAGTTAATATCAACGATATTAATCCAAAAATGCATTGTTGTACTACTTCGATAATGTGAGTGTGAATGTCGAATTTCGAGGAGTTGAGGCCGCTATCTTTATCCACACATAGTCCACCTCCACAATCTGAGCTACACCAACATTTACTCGCAGTTAAATAATCATAACTTTACTCCAGTGTCTGGTCCATGGGATGAGCCATTTTGAGCTTCCCTTCGTCTCACCAAAACGTTCTTGTGCGTCCAATCTGAGCTGAACTGGTGGGTGTCATTTCGAGCGGTTTTCTTGTTAGCGCAGTTTCTGTTAGAACGAATATTTTAATCAAGTTTTAACTTTCTTTGAAACTAGTTTCACTTGTTTTCTCTTATGCCGATGATGCATTAAAGGATCTACCTGGAAGACCGCGATTTCGGGTGTGGGTGTGAGTATGGATTTAGAAAAGATGCGCACTCATACCTCACCACACACCTACACCTATCTCACACCCACACCCAGAGGTGCATGTGCATCTGAAAGGAATAAGATCAATTTTTTGTCGCACAAGAATATTCTGTATAGTTGTTGAGGACATCTGATGCAAGCGTTTTATAAAAATTTCAAGAGAATTTCTATCCTAGCTCAATGCCGACGAGATTTATGCGTATTCCAATCCGTTTAAGAATAATCATGTTATGCTGACGACTGCACTTTCATCTTTGCTATGGTGTTGATTTCACGAAGACATGGTATTTTGAAAAATATCATGTGGATTTCTGGAGTATAAGTTTTTTGTTAATGCGTCTTTGTAAGTTCTGATTGTACGATATAATACAATACTTTTGCCTGATGCGCACAACCGTTGATTAATTTTCTCTCTTGAAACTAATATAACTTGAAATCAAGAAAACGTGGTCCCTCCATCAATGATAATACTCTGTCCAGTCATATAATCAGAGTCTTGGCTAGCCAAGTACGACGCTAAGCTTGCGACATCTTCTGGCTTTCCTAATCGGCCAAGAGCTATCACGTCGTTTTCGTAATATTTGATGATATCTCCCTTTTGCTTTCCTTGGATTTTTGCCAATTCTTCATCAAACATATCCACCATCGCAGTTTTGGCAGATCCTGTTTTGATCATTAGATTTGTATTTAAAAAAAATCGATATGAAACATATCTGGAGAGTAAGCATTGACTGTAATCTTGTGTTTAGCCCATTACATGGCAGCAGCTTGCGTAAGGCCACGCACACCCCATTTACTGGTACAATAATGGCCCCCCATTGGAGCTGATCTGTGTCCGAAGATACTGCAGGCACCGATGATTTTTCCTTCCGTACCTTGCGCAATCATGATTTTAGCAACCTCTTTGTAGCAAAGAAACACACCCCGCATGTTGACTGCAAACATATTATATCAATCTTCTGTAGTAATATCAATGATCGGTTTCACTTGGGCAATTCCTGCATTAGCGACTACGACCTGTATTATTAGCTAGAAAAAAAAAGGAAAGAGTCGAGAAAAAGAGGTGCCTACGTCTAAACTGCCCAGTTATTTTGCAGCGCTCTGCATCATTGTTTCGACTGCTTTATTAAAAGAAACATCAGCAGTTATAGCGACAGATTTTCGACCCATTTTTTCGATTTCTTGTTGAACCTTGTTGAGACCTGAAGTACTTGCTTTGATATCATTCACAGCAACATTGAGACCATCTCTAGCAAGACGGAGGGCAATCGCACGTCCAATACTTCGAGCGGCACCAGTAACAAGAGCGTTGCGAGACATCGTGAACAATAAAAACTGGAAAAGAGAGAAAAATAAGAAGAAAGATCTTAGTTGTTCTCTTGCAGGGTACCAATGTGAAACTATCCATATACAATGTTACACCTTTTTCAATAGCTGAAAACAGCAATTTTATAGATAGTGGTCTATAGTCTAGAATGAGTTTGCTATAACTTGAAAGAGAGTTTATTTTGGTTACACTGAAATGTCAACCTGAGAAGTAGGTTTTTGGAGTCTGTGTTCTACGTGGATTACGTTCTCTGATATGCATTCCAGAAAGAGAAGTGAAACATTCGGTAGGGAGCAAAATCTGTTCAAATGCGCAGTTCAACTAACTTTCTCGTTCTCAAAAATAAATTCTATCACATAACTATGAGTAAATTAAATGAACCAAGTCAATATTGTCGACTCTTTTATAATAAGTAAACGTATACTAAAAATTTGATGATGAAAAAATACACATTTTTCTTGTCCTGTAACTTGTTATCTTTGTTTGTATTCTTGTCATCTAATTCTAATTACCGACATATGCGAGATTCCACAACTTCCAAAAATGGCAGCTTTACGCTGCTTTCCAACTATTAAACTTATGTAAACTATAGAAATATTGATAATTTCTTTCTTATTTTTGAATAGAAACGCATATTTTTTCTTCTATTTTACTTCAAAAGGTTAGTAAACGGTTTAGTGTGATTTTTGACCTAGACCTGACTAGTTTTCAGTATAAATTTTGAGTAAACGGAATTGGATTCTTACATATTTTTATTCTTTTTGAACTTTACTTTTATGTTGCAATATGATGTAGCAAAATAAATAAATAAATAAATAACCAAAATAGTCATCCTTTCCTGACTGCGTTGTACGTGAGCTACAACAGAACATAGTAAGATTGCTTGAGACATCTTTTCTGAGCTAGTGTGAATGAACTGGAACGAAATAAGTCATATCTCAGGACACTTTTTCTTGTTTGCAATGTAGATGGAAGGTAAAATAAGGCATAAATACTGATTTGCATTAATTTTCGTTGATACTGTGCTTGTGATGGAAGAAAAATTGTGTTGAACTGATTCTTTTCCCCTACTCTGACAATATTCGTTCCGATTTACTACCTATTTCTAGTATGCATTATCGACGATCTTTGAATCATTGGCTGATTTGTATGAATGACATTCAAAAATTTGATCTCTCAAAAGAAAAACGTTCGATTGAGATTCTCATCGCGGCATACAGAGTATGTGTGATATAGACACGTGCATATGGTAAAACATCGAACTATGTATAAAAGTATTGTGTCCATGTATGAGCGGCTATGAGTATCAGGATTATGTATAGTACTCCAGCTATGGAGGTATATGAGTAGGTGAAGCAATACTACTGATTTAAACTTTTTAATTTGATATTTCGACCATTTTATTCGATTATTTTCAGTAAATTCACAATCACACAATAATAAAATAATCTATATATACATACTTTATCAATACGTATGCAATGACTTCTATAGAACGAAAAAAATGAAAGAGAAACAAGCTTGATACACTCTTTTTAATATCAAACATTTGGGATCAATAAGGGTGAATCTCGTTCACATATCATCTAGTTTATTCTATATGAGGCATTGAGTATGAATTGAAAATATAAATAACTTGACTATATGCATGCACAGTCCATTGTTGATGACGCGATAAATTTGAGAACAGAACACTATTCGATGGTCATTGCAATGTATTTACGAAAGCAGATTTCCCAAAATGGTAAATATTTTATCCAACGTCCAATAACACATTTCGTTCGCCAAAAGTAAAATCCGGATTATGAGAATAATTTGTATATTTTCTTGATGGTGTCCGAGATAATGCAAGCGAGACTAGGCTTCGGTCTCTCGAGCTAAAATTAGAAGTGACTTTTTCTTAATTTGATCATTGTTGGCTTGTTTTGTCGTTTTGTCGTTTTCATGATACTTGAAATGGCATGAATGAACAACGGTATTACTTTTAGCAATGACAAGCATGCTTTTCAATCCGATCCCGGCAACGAAATCCGCTCAACGATTTGCATATGTTGCTTGATTTTGCTAGATACTTTCTCGTGTTCTTCTTATTAAGGACTTTGAGCTTTCTTATTCGAAATAATGACAATGGAGCTTTGCATTATTCACCCAACAAGTCAAATAAAGATTAACGATAGTTCTTATGATCGAGTCTATGGGATGTCTGAACCATCTATTTCTATTTTAATAATCAGTAATCCAAATACAAAGATGCTTAGCATCGTTCTCGCACTTTAAACGTAGCTCAGGGGTCATCTAGTTTGATTGTCAACTTGTTCAAGATAATCGAATAAATAAGCCAAACTGCAAATAGAAAAGTTTAAATCGAGTGCATTATTTCATGTACACAGCAATAGTATTTCAATGCTGATTTAGATATCAGACAATAGTATGGGCGTTTCATTCCACATACGTACCGAAGTGTTAAGAAAGTCTTCGTCACAATGAAGAGTATACATCTCGACTTTCAATTTTTTCGACAACATGTCGCATACGAAATGCAATAACCGAATTCCTCTGGTACAAAACAGCAAATAATTAACGATCCTCAACAAAATCTTATAGAGATAGTCTGCGTCAGTCCTTACAAGAATATACTGGCTTGAAGTACAAGAATCTATATAGAACAAACAAGCAGTTCCGCGATAGCCACAATTTGCTAAGAAATTCGGTATCGGATATAATTTTGTTCATCGAATTTTGAACATCATGGAAAAAAGAACTAATCTTTCTGTTCTTGATTGTATACCGACATTCACGAATAGCAAGCATCATTTTCATTCATTCGATCGCACTAGTCCGAAAATGAAAATAAGTCAAACATTCAACAGGAAAAAACGAATTTTTTTCTCCATCTTCTTCACAAGATGATATAAAAACCAATGTCAGGAATCCAAATAATATAGATCCTGACACTTGTCTAGAAAAAAAGCAATATAAACACGCATCGATAACAATATATTGATATTTTCTCATGAGAAGTCATGAAAATACTGCCAACCCTTTTTGTCGTTATTGTATGTCTTCATACGACCAACATGAAAGCTGACATTTTAATGTGGATAAAAAGAGTACTAAGAAGCCTGCATCACATTCATAAATCTCTTGAATACATAAAAGCGTCGTTTTTTTTGTAACTTTCTATGGATAGTTCCACGCGTACCTCCAAGACAGCAATGATGTCCAAAACCAAGGACAATAANTTTTTGATCTAGATCTGACTAGTTTTCAGTATTAATTTTGAGTAAACTGAATTGGATTCTTACGTACTTTTATTCTTTTTGAACTTTACTCTTATGCTGCAATATGATGTAGAAAGATAAATAAATAAATAACCAAAATAGTTATCTTTTTCTGACTGCGTTGTACGTGAGCTACAACGAAACATTAAGATTGCTTGAGACCTTTTTTTCTGTACTAGTGTGGACGAACTGGAACGAAATAAGTCATATCTGATGATGCTTTTCCTTTTTTACAATGTACATGGAAAGCAAAATAAGGCATAAATACTGGTTTGCATTATTTTTCGTTGATACTGTGCTTGTGATGGAAGAAAAATTGTGTTGAACTGATTGTTCTTTCCTCCTGTGACAATATTCGTTCCGATTTACTACCTATTTCTAGCACGCATTATCAACGATCTTTTAATCATTGACTGATTTGTTTGAATGACATTCAAAGTTTGATCTCTCAAAAAAACAACGTTCGATTGATATTCTCATCACGGCATACAATGTATGTGGGATATAGACATACGCATATAGTAGAACATCGAACTATGTATAGAAGTATTGTGTATATGTATGAGTGGTTATGAGTATCGGGATTATGTGTGGTATTCCAACTATTGAGATATGTGAGTAGGTTAAGCAATACTACCGATTTAAACTTTTTCATTTGATATTTCGATCATTTTATTCGATTATTTTCAACAAATTCACAATCACACGATAATAAAATAATCGACGTATACATACTTTATCAATGCGTACGCAATGGCTTCTATAGAACGAATAAATGAAAGAGAAGCAAACGTGATACACTCTTTTTAATAGCAAACAATTCAGAGTGATAAGGGTGTATCACGTTTGCATACCTTCTAGTTTATTCAGTATAAGGTATTGAGTATGAATTATAAATAACTCGACCGTACGTATGCAAAGTCCATTGTTTATGGCACGATTATTTCGAGAATAGAACATCATTCGATGATCATTGCATCGTATTTAAGCAAGAGGATTTCCCAAAATGGTAAATATTTTATCCAACTTTCAATAACACATTTCGTTCGCCCAAAGAAAAATCCGGATTATGAGAATAGTTTGTTTAGTTTCTTGATTGTGTCCGAGATAATGGAAGCGAAACTAGGCTCCGGTCTCAGGAACTAAAATTAGCTGTGAGTTTTTGTTAATTTGATAATTGCTGGCTTGTTTTGTCGTTTTCGTGACACTTGAAATGTCATGAATGAACAACGGTGTTATACTTTTAACAATAGCAAGCATGCTTTTCAATTCGATCCCAGCAACGAAATCCGCCCAATGGTTTGCATATGTTGCTTAATTTTGCTAGATACTTTCTCGTGTTCTGCTTATTAAGGAGTTCGAACTTTCTTATGCGAGATAATGGCAATGAAGCTTTACATAAATCACGCAACAAGTCAAATAATGATTAACAATAGTTCTTATGATGGAGTCTATGCGACGTCTCAATCATTTATTTCTATTTCAATAATCAGTTATCCAAATACAAAGATGCTTTGCATCGTTCTCGCATTTTAAACGTAGCTTCCGTACCATCTAGTTTGATTATCAGCTTATTCAAGATAATCGAATAAATAAGCCAAACTGCAAATAGGAAAGTTTAAATCGAGTGCATTACTTCATGTATTCATTGCCAAAACTTAATCCATCATAGTATTTCATGCTGATTTAGACATCAAACAGTTGAATGGGCGTTTCATTTCAAATACGTACAGAAGTGTTAACAAAGCTCTTCATCGCAAAGGATAGTATACATCTCAACCTTCAATTCTTCGACAGCATGTTGCATACGAAATGTGATACTCGAATTCATCTGATATAAAACAGCAAATAATCAACTATTCTCTACAAAAGCATATAGCGATAGTCTGCGTCAGTCTTTATAAGAATATACTGGCTTGAAGTACAAGAATCTATATAGAACAAACAAGTAGTTCCGCGATAGACACAATTTGCTAAGAGATTCGGTATCAAGAATAATTCTGATCATCGAATTTTGAACATCATTGAAAAAAGAACTATAATCTTTCTGCTCTTGATTGTATACCGACATTTACGAATAGCAAACATCATTTTTATTCGTCTGATCGCGCTAGTCTGAAAATGAAAATAAGTCAAACATTCAACAGGAAGAAAGAATTTGTCCGCCATTTTCTTCACAAAATGACATAAAAACCAATGTCAGGAATCCAAATAATATAGATCCTGACACTTGTCTAGAAAAAAAGCAATATAAACACGCATCGATAACAATATATTGATATTTTCTCATGAGAAGTCATGAAAATACTGCCAACCTTTTTTGTCGATATTGTATATCTTCATACGACCGCCATGAAAACTGACATTTTAATGTGGATAAAAAGAGTATTAAGAAGCCTGCATCACANACCACGCACACCCCAGTTACTGTCACCATAATGGCTCAGCATTGGAGCTGGTCTGTGCCCGAGCGTACTGCAGGCACCGATAATTTTTCCTCCCGTACCTTGCGCAATCATGACTTTAGCAGCCTCCTTGTAGCAAAGAAACACATCCCGCATGTTGACTGCAAATATATTATCCCAATCTTCTGTGGTAATATCGACGATCGGTTTCACTTGGATAATTCCTTCATTAGCGACTATGACCTGTATTATTAGCTAGAAAAAAGATGAGAGAATCGATAAGAAGAGGTGCCTACATCTAAACTGCCCAGTTCTTTTGCAGCGCTCTGCATCATTGTTTCGACCGCTTTATCAACAGAAACATCAGCCGTTATAGCGACAGATTTTCGACCTATTTTTTTGATTTCTTGTTGAATCTTGTTGAGACCTGAAGAACTTGCTTTGATATCATTCACAGCAGCATTGAGACCATCTCTAGCAAGACGAAGGGCAATCGCACATCCCATACCTCGAGCAGCACCAGTGACGAGAGTGTTGCGAGACATCGTGAACAATAAAAACTGGAAAAAAAGAGAAAAATGAGAAGAAAGATCTTCGTTGTTTTCTTGCAGAATAACAATGTGAAACTATCCATATATATAGTCACATGTTTTTCAATAGCCCAAAACAACATTTTTATAGTTAGTAGCCTATAGTCTAGAACGAATTTGCCATAACTCGAAAGCGTGTTTGTTTCGGTTACATGAAAATGTCAACCTGAGCAGTAGGTTTTTGGAATCTGTGCTCAATATAGATTACGCTCTATGATATGCATTCTAGAAAGAGAAGCGAAACAGTAGGTAGGGACCAAAATCGGTAATCTCAACTTTGGTTGAAACTAAAAATCTCGAAAGTAAAATATATCGAAAAAAACTTAAAAAATATGAAAAGTAAAATTTTGGAAGATGACGGATAAAGATGTTATTATTGCGGGTGTGGGTATGTGGGTGACTCTCAATCGCTTATCTGTATTCACACCCTCAACAGAAAAATTATTTAATATCAATTAACCGTTATATAAAACCTTTTCTCTTGTATTTCATTCTTTCTTTTTAAATAATAAACATTTGATTGGAATTAAGCTGCTTGCTTTTTTAATTGTTTTAGCAAGAAAATGTTCCGAAGTAGCAACCTAAGTTTTCGATATTTTTACTGTTGGTATTTTTACTTTCGGCCAAAGTAGGGAAAATTCCAAAATTTGTTCGGATGTATAGTTCAACTAACTTTCTCGTTCTCAAAAAACAAATTCTGTTAGATTACTATAAGTAAATTAAATGAACCAAGCCGATGTTGTCGGCTCTTTTATAATAAGTAAACGTATACTGAAGATTCAATGGTGAAAAAATACGCATTTGAGGTGAATTTTTTCTAATCAAGAAAGCTTTCTTTTTGTTACGACATAAAAGACTGTTTTGTCGCTTCAATAGTCTGTAGTAGTTCAGTCATATTCAGATTTCCCATAAGTTTCGTTATTTTCAAAATTTCCTAATTACCTACATACGCTAGATTCCACATCTTCTTAAAATGTATGCTTTCCGCTGTTTTGCAGCTATTGAACTTATGTAAATTACAGAAATTTTAATAATTTCTTTCTTAGTTTTGAATAAAAATGCATATTTTTCGTTCTATTTTACTTCAAAAGGTTACTAAACGATTTAGTGCCGTTTTTGACCTAGATCTGACTAGTTTTCAGTATTAATTTTGAGTAAACTGAATTGGATTCTTACGTACTTCTATTCTTTTTGAACTTTACTCTTATGCTGCAATATGATGTGGAAAGATAAATAAGTAACCAAAATAGTCATCCTTTCCTGACTGCGTTGTACGTGAGCTAGAACGAAACATATTAAGATTGCTTGAGACATCTTTTCTGTGCTAGTGTGGACGAACTGGAACGAAATAAGTCATATCTGAAGATACTTTTCCTTTTTTATAATGTAGGTGGAAAGCAAAATAAGGCATAAATACTGATTTACATTATTTTTCGTTGATACTGTGCTTGTAATGGAAGAGAAATTGCGTTGAACTGATTGTTTTTTCCTCCTGTGACAATATTCGTTCCGATTTACTACCTATTTCTAGCATGCATTGTCAACGATCTTTTAATGATTCACTGATTTGTTTGAATGACATTCAACATCTGATCTCTCAAAAAAACAACGTTCGATTGATATTCTCATCACGGCATACAATGTATGTGGGATATAGACATACGCATATAGTAGAACATCGAACTATATATAGAAGTATTGTGTATATGTATGAGTGGTTATGAGTATCGAGATTATGTGTGGTATTCCAACTATTGAGATATGTGAGTAGGTTAAGTAATACTACCGATTTAAACTTTTTCATTTGATATTTCGATCATTTTATTCGATTATTTTCAACAAATTCACAATCACACAATAATAAAATAATCGACGTATACATACTTTAGTAATGCGTACGCAATGGCTTCTATAGAACAAATAAATGAAAGAGAAGCAAACGTGATACACTCTTTTTAATAGCAAACAATTCAGACTGATAAGGGTGCATCACGTTTGCATACCTTCTAGTTTATTCAATATAAGGTATTCAGTATGAATTATAAATAACTCGACCGTGTGCATGCAAAGTGCATTATTTATGGCACGATGATTTCGAGAATAGAACATCGTTCGATGACCCTTGCAACGTATTTAAGCAAGGAGATTTCCCAAAATGGTAAACATTTTATCCAACTTTCAATAACACATTTCGTTCGCCCAAAGAAAAATCCGGATTATGAGAATAATTTGTATAGTTTCTTGATTGTGTCCTAGATAATGGAAGTGAGACTAGGCTTCGGTCTCAGGAACTAAAATTAGCTGTGAGTTTTTGATAATTGCTGGCTTGTTTTGTCGTTTTCGTGATATTTGAAATGTCACGAATGAACAACGGTATTACTTTTAGCAATAGCAAGCATGCTTTTCAATTCGATCCCAGCAACGAAATCCGCTCAATAGTTTGCATATGTTGCTTAATTTTGCTAGATACTTTCTCGTGTTCTGCTTATTAAGGAGTTCGAACTTTCTTATACGAAATAATGACAATGAAGCTTTGCATTATTCACGCAATAGGTCAAATAAAGATTAACAATAGCTCTTATGATGGAGTGTATACGACGTCTCAATCATTTATTTCTATTTCAATAATCAGTTATCCAAATACAAAGATGCTTTGCACCGTTCTCGCATTTTAAATGTATCTTCGGTACCATCTAGTTTGACTGCCAGCTTATTCAAGATAATCGAATAAATAAGCCAAACTGCACATAGGAAAGTTTAAATGAAGTGCATTACTTCATGTATTTATTGTCAAGACATGATCCATCATAGTATTTCATGCTGATTTAGACATCAAACAGTAGTATGGGCGTTTCATTTCAAATACGTACAGAAGTGTTAACAAAGCTCTTCGTCACAAAGGACAGTATACATCTCAACCTTCAATTTTTCAACAGAATGTTGCATACGAAATTTGATACTTGAATTCATCTGATACAAAACAGCAAATAATCAACTATTCTCTACAAAAGCTTATAGAGATAGTCTGCGTCAGTCCTTATAAGAATATACTGGCTTGAAGTACATGAATCTATATAGGACGAACAAGTAGTTCCACAATAGCCACAATTTGCTAAGAGATTCGGTATCGAGAATAATTTTGTTCATCGAATTTTGAACATCATCTAAAAAAGAGCTATAATCTTTCTGCTCTTGATTGTATACCGACAATTACGAATAGCAATCATCATTTTTATTCGTCTGATCGCGCTAGTCTGAAAATGAAAATAAGTCAAACATTCAACAGGAAGAAAGAATTTGTCCGCCATTTTCTTCACAAAATGACATAAAAACCAATGTCAGGATTCCAAATAATATACATCCTGACACTTGTCTAGAAAAAAAGCAATATAAACACGCATCGATAACAATATATTGATATTTTCTCATGAGAAGTCATGAAAATACTGCCAACCTTTTTTGTCGATATTGTATATCTTCATACGACCGTCATGAAAAATGACATTTTAATGTGGATAAAAAGAGTATTAAGAAGCCTGCATCACATTCATAAATCCCTTGAAAACATAAAAGTATCGTTTTTTTTGTAATTTTCTATGGATAGTCCCAAGCATACCCCAAGACAGCAATGATGTCCAAAACTAAGGACAATAATGAAGAGTTAATGGATATCTTTTGTCTATTCTTTCAATATTCTTGTTTTTCTTTGCCGATATTCAAGATCCTTTTTTATTTACATATACT